AGTGTGTCCTAACGCTGGCGCGGGGATCCGAGGACCTGACGTGAAACGGTCAGCGTGCACTTCTGGGGTTGCACGGCGTCGCCCGCGGGGCGAGACCTTACACAACGCGCGTGACTTCGTCTTAAGAATCGCCTCTTTCGTCTTGTATTCGCAAACGGACGCTGTCTCTTCCTGTGATGACATCGTCCGTCCTGTGTCCAAATTGTGTTCACTTCCGTGCGGTTCATATTCAAAATAAGTGGAAAAATTCGCCTAGGGATCGGCGATCCCAATCCGCTTTAGGAAGGTCCCGGGCTCACACGCGTACGCGATGATCGGCTGTCCGGACTTGGGTCTTCTTTGGTTTTCCTCAGTGCATCCAGTAATATTCCGCGACAGACAGCCACTTAAATAGACGTCATCCTTCCACATCCTTTCCGGTTCATCACTCAGTGAATGCGCCTGTAATCCGGACGACCGTTCCATCAGCAATATGACACCGCTGAACTCTTCGCGGTGTGGCCATGATGAATCACAGACGTGCGCAGGTTAATTGGCGTGGCGTGTTATTTATCATTCGAGTAGCCTATAAATTTTAATGTGAAATCATTTAGCGATGCGATTAACCAATATACAATTACGAATATCCATAAATGAACAGTTTAATCCATCGGCACAACACGAAATGACTAGTAGTAATGGCTTACAGCTATTAATCTTTTACTTCGCGTTCCATTATGTTAATTAGAACCTCAGTCACGTGACGCGTCCAACGAGCCCCAAAGCGCACCTATTTGCCATTTTGCAGCAGACAGAATAATAGATTTTCCAAGTGAGGGATTGAGGGCTAAGCCCCCATATTATTGTTTTGAACTCAGTGTCGATGCCGGAAGAACAGGTTCAGCACACGGAGCCCTTTGAAAGCCGCGGAAACAAATGTCAACTTGTCACCCGGGGGGGTTACTGATGCCCGTGGAAGGGCCCGAGGGCCCATGACGGAGGATTTCACAGGCCCTTTGAGACTTCAGACTCCTGGCCACAAGGTCACGCACCTACTGGCGTCGGCTTCGAAATCTGTTCCGTCTGCTATCAGTGCCGTCCACACCAATTTCTCCAT